CATTCCCGAACCAGGGAATTACCAGTCTGAACCGTGGCCGTCCGTACCATACCATCACCGAACCTGGAAACAACACAGTGGCGTGCGCCATACCATTCCCGAACCAGGGAATTACCAGTCTAAGCTGTAGCAGGCTGTGTYGTCACCGTACARCAYACTGTATCGTTACCGCACCAATGYAGAGCCTGAAGTAATCGCTTGGAGATGCTGTAACCCATATCGTGCCGATGCCGATACAAGACCGTGCCTGAAAACGATGCAGTGGCGTGTACCACGCCAATGCCGAACCAATACCGTTCCTGAAACATGCCGAACATGGCAAGACGCAGCGGCGCGGCAATAGTACCAATCCTGAAGTAAACCGCCGCAATGATCCCGGATCTGAAAATGAGTCACTGCAGAGGTTCCGAACTTGAAATAAATCTYCGTGAGGGCCCCGAACCTGAAACGAAACACCSCGATGCCACCGAACCTGACCGGACCCAAAATCTAGTACCGGGCTGTTGCGCCACGCGGATGCCGAACCCGTACAACCATGCCATGATAATTCCGTACCTATCCCAAACCTGATATGGAATGCCGCAACGTTTCCGGACCTGAAAGCAAACTGTCGGCAGGGTTCCAAACCTGGAATAACTGTTGTAGCGGCCCCGGTCCTGAGAATAAATCACCTCAGCTGTCCCAAGCCTGAAAATAAGTCACCGTAGTGAAACAATTGTCACCGGGCCCATACCGAACCTGAAGCGCATTGGAAACCGTAGGACGTAACCATTCTGTAACCACCCCCGTATCCGTACTGAACCAAACACCATACTGTCGACCCAAGGTAGCACCACCGCATTCTGTCCATGCGACTCCCATTCTCAGAACATCCCAAATGCGGTAATGTTAGTAATCAAGCAAACCAGGGAAAGCGACGCAGGGAACCTCGACCATGGACAGTAGTGAAAACTTGTCTAAAATCCGGGGAAAATGATCAATCCGGGGCCAGAGCTGATGGCGGGTAATCAAGGCGAAATTAGGCCAATCTCCCAATAGTCATGGGTTTCCGTCCCTTTCATTGTTTTTAATCATTCTTCCCTTTCCTTAATTCTGTTGTCGGAAATAGTAAATTAACCGTAAGTTCCATAAAATTCAATTCCGAGAAAGTTTAAATAAATGGCCGAATTCCTTTTGTTTCTTTTCTCTTTTACCATTTTTAATCTTTTTCTATGTTTTTAATTTAATTGTCGAAAAAATAAGATAACAAGGGTATTCCCCTTAGAATTAAATGCCGTGAAAAATAAAGAAATTAAGGGATATTATGTTTTTCCCTTCTCCCCTACTGGTCTTAATCCCTCTTCCCATCTTTAATTATGGTACTAAAATAGACAAAAATTTGAGGCCCCATTTCGCCCCGGTCGTATGCTGCAAAAACGTTGCGGCGAGGTCAACTCCCTTGATGCCTCTCCGCGGCAGGCCAATCCGGGTCTAACCCTCTGAACGGTCGGAAATGTCAGTCCCTAGACATGCCGAGTGCGGCCACCCATCTCCTCATCTTTGAGGGTTACTCATAAGGCTCAGTGCGCCCAAAATTAGGAGTGCCCTGAGTTCCCCTAATTTTTGCTGCTTGGTCATACGAGACTACCATCAAAACACGGATTTGTCCCTGAGCCTAAGTCCCAAAACTGCAGATCTCAGGCGGCGCACTGCTTGTGGCCGCCTGACAGTTAGCCCGGACCACTTCTCGACGCCCCCGTCGAGCCCCTTGCAACGCCCACGTTGGCGTTCAATTGTCTTATGTTTCAGTTTGTTATGAGTCCTAGGGCTAAGAAGATGCTTATTGACTCTCCTGTTTCTTCTGGTTTTTGGCCCCGGCACGATCCTCTTTTTTTTTTGTCTTTGCCCCGCGAAGGGTGTCGTCCCGCCAGTACGTTTAACCCGACTTCTCCGTCTAGCTCGCTTGGAGACGAATAACCATCTCTTTTCTCTTCCCAAAGCTATCCCTTTGACCTTTCTCTTCTCTATTCTTTTCCTTTTCTTGGAACTCTCCCCTGCCTCGAATTGCCTCAAGGGGGCTCCATCCTCCATTATGGCTTTCCCTTTCCCTATCGGGCTGGTCAGTGATAAGGCGGGCGCGGGTCTGGGCCTAAACAACTTTAACGTAGCACCCGCCACTAGGTCCTTCCACTTGGATCCGTCTAATTCTGCTATTATATATGCACCCCAATCGAGTGCCTAAACCACTCTGTAAGGTCCCATCCATCTATTAGCAAGCTTTCCGGTCCAGGTCCTTTCCAGCGCTGCATCGTAGAGAAGGACCATATCTCCTACGCTTACCCTCTCTTTCTTGATTCGCACGTTCTTATCTCATCTCTCTTTACCCTTGTCCCTTTCTGCCGCCAGACGATCAGCTGCGATCATGAGGTTATCTTCCAACCCATAGGCTATCTGTCTCGTTCGGGCTGCTAAGAATTCCTCTCTGGACATCTCCTCCGCCCAGTCGACGGTTGTCCAGCTGTCGACGTGAAACTTTATGGGAAGCGGACAATATCGTCCAAACCACAAGGTGTATGGTGGGTATCCTGTACTTGCCCGGACCGTGACGTTGTCCGCCCATATCGCGTATCAAAACTATCGTGGCCAATCACTGTCCTTACCCTTGCACCACTTGGACAGTGACGCTATCAGAGTCTGGTGTCCCCTCTCTACTGGGGAGTTCGACTGTGGGTGATAAGCGGTGGCTATCGAAACTCTCGCACCGGCTCTCCTAAATACGCTCTGAACTTCGTCGGCTTGGAATTCCGCCCCTCTGTCCATCACTATCTTGCTAACACAACCATACCTAGATAAGTACTCTAGGACAAAGTTCTTTACTTCCTTTGCCGCCTTACTCCTGATAGGTCTACCG